CCCGAGAGCAGTGAGAGGCAGGGCGCTACGCTCAGTCGAGTGGAAGACTTGGGGCTTTCCTGGGTTAAGACTGTGGTTGTGTACGTCTGTCTGTCTGTGGCGTGTGTCTGTGATTGTAAGACGAACCTGCTGTCTCTGTTAATCCCAGGCAGGGGAAATCAGCACAAAGGGTTTCGGAAGGAACCGTGTTAACACTTCCCTACGCTGTGGTATCCCCAGCCCCAGCGTGTGCCCAGCCGCAGCACTCCCTGGCGGGCCGCACGCACGGCTTACGTGTGTTTTAGAGCCCCCCCCCCAGCCCCCCGCCTCCCCATCTCTTCTCCCTCCGCTTGCTCACAGGAGGCTTCTTAGTGCGTGTGGTGCCGGTTGGTGTGGAGACATGGGAAGGACGCTGTCCTTGCAGTCACTGGATCCGAGTAGTGGACATGTCGCTCCAAGCGTCGTTTCTATGGGAACATCCATCGACTCTGTCAATCAGGTGTCTCAGTGACCGTGACTGCGGAATGCTGCCTTGTGGGCGAGGCCTCCCGGACATGAGTCGGGGCCACGGCCCTGTGCGGTGGGTGTGCATCTGCTGTGGGCAGGCGTGTTTCTACCCACGGCAGGACAAGCGTTGGTCCTCAGTGGGCTTCCGGCTGATGCCCTGAAGCTAAGCCTCCGCACGTGCTCTTGACCTTGTTGTCCATAAAATGCACAAAACAGACCATTGGGATCTATTTGTTCAGTTTTTCTTCCCAGTGAATTAATTCCAGCTCATGTGGGCGTCTCTCTTGCCCGCCAGCCTGGCTGTTTCCCAAAGTGATTGTTTTCTTTGCCCTTGGGTGTGGGTGCCAGCCAGGTGGTGGCACAGCCTTGCTGGTGTGAGCTCCTGTCCTGTGCCCGGCAGCTGGGTTTTCTCTGGTGCCTGTGGTTTGGGGAAGGCGGGCCGTGCGCTCTGGCACCTGTGCCTGCAGGGACTAGAGGCATCACTACTCAGGGCGTCACACCGTGGGCCGTCGGTGAACAGCGCCGCGGGACTGCGGGCTCTGGCGCAGATCCGGCCCAGGTGGAGCCCAAGCTGCTGGGTGCCATCCACGGCCCTCAGGTCCGGCCTCTGCCCAGCCCCTCCCCCTACCCCTCCCCGCCCCCGAAGTGCCCACCGCCTGGTGCCAGCCACCCTCTCGGAGGCTCAGCGAGCTCCTGGCAGAAACGACTCTCCCTAGAGCCCACCCATCTCGTCATCTCTGCAGCTGAACCCCTGACTCTCCCCTCGCCTCTCGGCTCCTCACAGACCTGTGGTCCTACCTCTCGCCGGGAGCCGCTCATGCCTGGTGGTGGCAGTGTGGGCCTGGAGATTGGCATGTTCCCAGGGCCTCCTCCTCGGGGCACTCAGCTCGCCCCGTTTGGGGTCCTCAGTGGGGCGAGGACGGGGACGTGGCAGCGATAGGGACAGTGAGGCACCGCCTGCCAGCGCCAAGACAGGCTCTCATTGTGGCGACACCGACGTGTGTTTGGCTGCGATGTTGGTGCACATGGCTCAGGGCCCAGCCCCTCCTGCACGTTCTGGCTGCGGTGCTGCCGGCCCTGTCCCTTCAGAGCTGCTGCCCTCCTGGGGGGCGAAGGACAGCCCCTCTCCTCCCGGGGGCACTGGTGCGGCCCGGGCCCTCCTGCCTGGCCTGTGGCCTGGTGTGGAGCGGGTCCCATGGCCGGTGGGTGGTGGCTGCACGCTGTGTCTGCGCCTCCAGGGTTCAGAGCACCCACCCCGCGAGGGTCTCCCCTGGATGCGCCCGAGGCCGGGCCCTGGAGGCTCCCGTGGCTCTGTGCCAAGTGTGAAGCCCTCGCGTCTGCTCTAGGCCCCGTCACTCCCTCCTCAAACGCGGTTTGTGTGGCTCTGCTGGAAGCCCCGCTACCGGCCCCCTTCACGGCCGCCTCATTTGGAGTCTGCGTGTCGGACAGACTCCTCTCTCCCTCTGTCACGAAGAGTCTTCTCTCTGTCCGGTGGCCCAGGGGCACTGCGCCTCCGTGGCCCCTCCTGACCTGCATGGGGCTCTTCTGTTTGCCCACCTCCTGCTGCTTGGCTGCCTCTTAATTTTATTGTTTTAATATATCCTCCCCCTCAGATATGTTCTTATTTATTTTAGAGAGAAAGGAAGGGGGAGGGGGAGGGGAGGGAGAGAGAAGCGACTGGTTGCCTCCCGTATGCACCCCGACCATGGATCGAACCTGCAACTGATTGGTGTGCAGGATGACACTGAACCATTGAGCCCCGGCAGGCCCCTGGGTTGCTTTTTGTAGCCCACCTGCCACCTTAGCCAGCGGCGGCTGTGTGGTGCTTGCAGCCACCTGCCCGCCATCTCTCGCTAACGCTCCCCAAGTGGGAGAAACGGCCGTGGGAGTTCCTCCCTGTAGGTAAGTAACAGCCTGGGCCGCTGTGTTCTGGGCTATTATCTAATGCAAATGGGCTTCCTTATTGCCTAACAGAGTAGTTCAAGCAGGGAGGGCCACACAAACTGAAGCTATGAATTTCAAGCATCCCCCTCAGCCCTCTCTCCCCCACCCACCCTCTCCACCGGCCCTGCTTCCCTGTCTTCTTGCACAGACGTTCAGCACAGGGCCAGGTGCGTTGTCTGGTTTGTGGATAACATTTGGGGCGGGGGGGTGTGCTATTCTTCATACTTGAAGTATTTATTTCTTCTATAGAAAAGTGAGATATTTTATGGTCCAAACAGCAAACTTACAAATGAATTTTTGTAAATTTGCTTGCAAAGTAGGGACCCAGCTGTATGTTCCCTTCACGGCACTGTTAACAAGATCTAGGCCTTCCCTTCCTTTTTACTGAGGTGTCATTGACATTGTAACATTCTCTCATAATAAGTTTGAGGTGTTTTGTATGCCCCATGGCCGGTTGTTGTCCATAAAACACACAGAACAGGCAGTTGGGATCTATTTGCTCAGTTTTCCTTCCCAGTGAATTGCTTCCAGCGTATCTGGGCGACCCAGTCAGCTCATGAATCGGGGAGCAGCCAGCGCCACACACGGCCACCAAGCTCTTCCTTCCCTGCGACGAGAGCTCGGAAGAGGTCCCTCTCCCTGGGGCCTCTCTCCCGCCTGCTATATTCTCTTGACAAGGCTCACATAGGCACCCGGTGCCCCTCCCTGTGGGGGAGAGCGCTGGGTGTGTGTAGCCTCCTACCTCACATGTGGACAGCAGGGGCTCCAGGCTTTCCCCTTGTTGCCCAGGGATACGTTTTCCAACCAGTGCCCTGGCTGCCCAGGTGTCCACTCAGCAGCTGTGAGTGACGCCATGCCAGGTGTCAGCCTGTGTTCTCCTGCCACCGTGTGGTGAGGCACTGACGGGGGTGGTCCTTGGGCTCCTCGCCGCTTGCATTTGGCCCTAAAATAGCCCTTCCCGGGACGCAGTGCGGTGTGCATTCACGGCCCTTTGTAACCCCCCAGAGCTGCCCTGGCTCAGACCGTTCAGGACTCTCCATTGCTCCCCATTGTCTGGGAGGGTCCCGTGGAAGTCATGGATCCCCTGTGAGTGGCATTGAGGCGGAGCCTGGTGGGTTGAGGTGTGGTGGCTGAGTGTGCAGCGCGCCTGCGGCTCCCTTTCCAGCCCCGGGCCTGCCTGCGTCTTCCTCCTTGTGGGGAAGTGTCCTTGTCAGCCTCTGGGCCCTGTCACCCTCCCGTTCTATTTGGAACTTGTTTTTAATCCCTCACAGCCTTTGCAGCTAACTACCCCTAGCGGACCGACCGACCGGACCGACCGACCGAGACATGGGAGGGGAGGGTGTGTCTCTGGGTCCTGACCTGCCCCAGGTGTGTGGTCTCCCTGGAGCCGCAGGGGAATGGACTGAACTCAGTTCTCAAAGGTGTCAGCCTGTGTCTCGAGAGGGAGGGAGCTAAGCGGGAGGGAGCCGAGCACTCAGGGTCCTGAAACTTAGCACCACCATCAGGCTTCCTCCTCCGGGCCTTCCCTCTGGGCGCTCTGGGTCAGCCCTGGCCTCTGTGCACAGGAGCGGGGTCTTTAAAACCACACATGGCGGGTGGGGGTGGGGGGTGCACTGTGGAGGAAGGTCAAGGGTGCCTCTCTGACGATCCTGCTTGGGAATCACAGGGGCCGGGGTGAAGGCAGGAGGGAGTTCAAGGGTGCGGGGTGCTTCCCAGAGCTGGGGGAGGAGTCCAGCTGACCCCTGCCTGGAGCTGGAGCTGGGCCGCATGCACCTCGGCCTTTGTCCTGCCTGGCAGTCTGCTTACTGGGTGATGGGCCCCATAGACCTCCGTGCTCCGCCCACGTGGCCTCCCAGCCCGAGAGCCTGGTGGACAGGTTCCAGTGCCTCTCGGTTCACAGTCTCAAGAAAGAAAATGCTCCCGGCATCTTGATGGGTGTCCACCCCAGCCCGTCCGCCTCACCCCCCGGCCGCAGCGCTCCCTGGGACGGGGAGTTCCCCGAGGGGTGCAGGTGGACAGGTTGAGAATCCCGTGCGGAGAGCTGCTCTCAAACTGCTTCCCAGCGAGGAGGCCGCCGTGGGCTGTGCCTGGACCCGCAGGAGGTTCCTCGGTTAACGCATGCAGGTTGCTGTCTGTTCATTTCCTGTTTCCTTCCCTTTGTGGTCTTGGGTTCAGGGTTCTTGCCTCCCTCGTTAGGACGCGTTCCTCCTGTCTCGGAGCCGGTCTGCCTGGCGCAGTCTCGGATGCTCAGCCTCCTTCACGGTGGTCAGAGTGCGGGGCAGATCTCGCTGCGGTCACCGCGGGCTTCGTCCTGCAGCCGTGTCCCTGCCACCCTCCTCCTGCCCTCAGGGTCCCTCCTGGGGACTGCGGTGGACTGGGCCTCCCTCAGCTCGTGGGAGCTGTCAGGTCCTGACCTCAGAGTCCAGGGAGGACGCAGGCACTGGGAGCTCCACAGGGCCCGCCGTTCACCAGCTGCTGCAGCAGAGGCTGCTGGGAGCCCTCACGTGGTCGGTTTCACAAGCTGCTTGCACTTGCCTGAGTCTTTGACCTTATTCCTCTGGTCCTAGAGCCTGTCCTGTGTCTTAGCCTTTCGCAGACACACCGTTGGAGCCGCTAGGTGTCTGCAAAAGGAACCTGATGGCCCAAGATGAGCTCTGAGGTCCCGGGAGGGCCGGCTGTCAGGCCTCCCCTGAGCTCCAGCCTGGGAGGGGCAGCGCCCTCACCGGCCCAGGAAGGCGGTTTCACTGGGGTGACTGCATGTGTCCTGGTTCTGGGCGACAGCACAGGAGGAAGGTGGGAGTGGGGTGTGCGGTGCTGCATGGGGCTCCGTCAGGTGGAAGGGCTGCCCTTGTCCGGTGCCTGAGACAGATGTTCCCCCTCTGCCTGTTTGTCTCTCTGTCCTCACATCTGCCGCTCAGCAGCTGAACAGCTTGGCAGAGTTCTGATTGCCCGGCCTGATTGTTGATTCAGAACCAACAATCACCATGAGAGGCGCCTCCACACTGCCTCTGGCAGGCCCTCCTGCCGGAACCAGCTGGGGCCGGAGGCTGCTCAGCACCCACTGTGGGCCGCTCCTCACCTCTGACCCTGTGGTGCTTAGAGGGGAGCCACCCTCACCTCTGGAAGCTGAAGAGGCAGGACTGCTTGTGGGTCAGCAGCCCACATGCTCTCTGCCGGGGCCTCCTTTGCCGGTGGGGTGAGAAGGCCCGAGGGGTTCCGCCCGTCCCTGCCCCCCCTCCCCCCCCACGCACCTGCTCTCAGCATCGGTTAGTGTCTTGGCCGTGACCTGCTGAGCATGTGGCTGGGCCATGGCAACTATGAAGTACCTCCTACGCCTGCTTCCTGGCTGGGTGATTTAGGGTTTTTAACCTTATATATCTTTTCCTTTATTTAAAACAAAGCAATTTTTAGCACACTGAAAAAAAAAGCTAAACATTTTGTGCCTTTCTAAGGCAGCGCTGTATCCTAGGCTGCATTTTAGAGCTTAATATGGACATAGCAGCGTCTTTGTTCTGCTCTGAGTGTCCCAGCCCCACAGTCCCGGGGAGGGCAGGGTGCCGGGTCCCTCTCCCACCGCACCCTGGGTGGGAGGCTGGTTCCATCAGCTCAGCCTCCATGTGCTCTGGGCAGAGGCAGCCGGGTCAGGCCTCTCCTGGAGGGTAGCTACTCTTAACCTTTGGTGGATCCTGACCTGCCTCGACCTCCTGCCCCCCTCCCCCCACCCAGGTCGGAGCCCTCAGACTCAGAGCAGTAGCCGCGAGTGCCTCTCTGGGGATCACCTTCCCCTGGAAGAGGCAGCAGAGGTGTGACCACAGCCTGTCCTCAGAACTGTGACCGCCAGGTTTCAGGGGGAGGGAGGAAATGTTCTCTCCCCTCCTCCGAGCTTCCTGCCTTTCACTCCAAAGAAGGTGGAAGCAGCTCCAGGCTCCTAATTTGTGACTG